GCCCTGAGGGCAATTTTCGGCCGAACCGCCCACTTTTGGCCGAAATTTGGCCAGTGCTCACTGAATTCGAAAGCGATTTGGCTGAAATTTGGCACGATTGAAGCGTGTGGAATTTGTCGAAAATTGACCCGAGCCGAATTTTGAATTTTACACTTTTGCCCTCGGGGCGTATTTAGTTCGCTGAAAAAATTTAATTTTGGTCTGGAGGGTCGTATTTTAGGAAAAGTTGGAGTTTCGCACATGAATATTACCCAAAATTTGATTCTGCGTCGAATGGTACCAAAATCGTGTCGATAGCTCCACTGGCAGCCGAGTTCTGGAAAGGCGGATCCAGAAAATTTCGAATTTTTGCCTTTGTCGCTAGGCGGGCGGGGTAAGATGGTCGTATGTTGGGAAGTGAAAGTTGTTTCTAGGGCAGTTTGACGTGACGATTACGGGGCTTATCTCGAAAATCCGAAAAATTTGAAGTCCGAGCCCTGAGGGCCGATTTTCTGGAAAAAACCCCGAAAATTTTGCGCGCCGCATTCGATCTGCCTTAGGGCATGATATCAGAAGCCGAAAAAACGCACAGAGTAACTTCAGTCTATTCCAGAGCCAACACCGAGCCACTTTTTTGAATTTCGATCTAGTTTTTCCGGAAGAGCTTCCGGAAAATTTGGAGTTTTTTCGGAAATTTCGGAAAATCTGGAATAGCTAAAATACGAAATACGATATCAAGATACGAAAGGTGGTTCTAGGGTAAGTCAGGCATGCTGAATCAGAATCCGTCGTCAAAATCCAGAAATTCCGTCATCTTGATGGTGAAAAATGGAAATTTCGGAAAATTGGGAATAACTATCGACCGGTCGATTATTTTTGGGGGGTGTAACGGAGTAATGTCATTTTTTTGAGATGCAGATACGAATGGAACTTGAAAATTTTTGATTCCGTTCCGATTGGCGACAAAACGGACTTTTTTGCCTAAGGGCAAGATATGCAAATTTTGAAAATCCGCAAAGTTTTGGACCCCAACAAAGGTGAAACTGAGCCAGAAGCTAAGGAAAAGTCGAAAAATTCAAAAAGTTACGCCCAAAAGAAAATCAAAAAATTTCATTTTCAAACGCCCGTAATTCCCGCCAAAATCGGCGGAAGGGAAATCAAAAAAATTAAAAGTCTTAGAATTTCGTGTTCTACCGCTATGCCAAATTTCAAGTCGATAAGTCAACGTCTTCGATTTTTTATATTTCTCACTTAGGTTTCTTTCGACAAGCCCCCGCTTCGCGGGGCCTTGACGTCGCTGTGCGCGCAAAGGTTGCCCATCTTGAAGGTTGTTGATCGCGCACTACCTCTGGAGTCGCTGGCCCCGCTTCGCGCGGCCAGAAAAACGCGCTAACGCGCGTTCTACTTACTCAAGCCCGCGAAAAAGACATGCTCCGCTCCGACCCGGAGCAAATATTTCGAATCGCAATCACTCACCCCAGCCAACCCTAATTTACCCCGCCCCCTTGGAATGGGGAATTCCGCTTTATTTCTCCGTCTTCTCTTCCGGTCTCTCGCTCTCCGCTCTCTCTCGAAATTCAAACTTGCGTAAAAGCAAAGGAATTTCCCTCTCTCGGCTCGGCCTCGCACAAAGAAATCCAAAGTTGCGTAAAAGCAAAGGAATTTCCCTCTCTCGCTCTCCGCTCTCTCTCGAAATTCGAACTTGCGTAAAAGCAAAGGAATTTCCCTCTCTCGGCTCGGTCTCGCACAAAAAAATACAAAGTCCACCGCTGTTGGAGACGACTCGGCTCGGCCTCCGGCCTCGCCGAGTCGTATTTTAGGAAATGAAAGTGGTTTCTGGACCGGTTTTTCACGCTGAACACGATGGTCCAAGTCTCGATTCACGAAATTTAAATTTAGCGGCCGCAGGGCAAATTTTCGGCCGAACCGCCCAATTTTGGCCGAAATTTGGCCAGTGCTCACTGAATTCGAAAGCGATTTGGCTGAAATTTGGCACGATTGAAGCTTGTGGAATTTGTCGAAAATTGACCCGAGCCGAATTTTGAATTTTACACTTTTGCCCTCGGGGCGTATTTAGTTCGCTGAAAAAATTTAATTTTGATCTGGACGGTCGTATTTTAGGAAAAGTTGGAGTTTCGCACATGAATATTACCCAAAATTTGATTCTGCGTCGATTGGTACCAAAATCGTGTCGATAGCTCCACTGGCAGCCGAGTTCTGGAAGGGCGGATCCAGAAAATTTCGAATTTTTGCCTTTGTCGCTAGGCGGGCGGGGTAAGATGGTCGTATGTTGGGAAGTGAAAGTTGTTTCTAGGGCAGTTTGATGTGCTAATTACGGGGCTTATCTCGAAAACCCGAAAAATTTGAAGTCTGAGCCCTGAGGGCGGATTTTGTGCAAAAAATCCCGAAAATTTTGCGCCAACAGTTTGATCTGACTTCCGGCAGGGTCCCAGTAGCCGAAAAAATTCCAGCGATAGCTGAGACTAATAGCTATGTCGCTGTGGAGCCGGATTTTTGAATTTCGATCTAGTTTTCCAGAAAAAAATTCCGGAAAATTTGGAGTTTTTTCGGAAATTTCGGAAAATCTCGAATAGCTAAAATACGAAATACGACAGCAAGATACGAAAGGTGGTTCTAGGGTATGTCAGGCATGCTGAATCAGAATCCGTTGTCAAAATCCAGAAATTCCGTCATCTTGATGGTGAAAAATGGAAATTTCGGAAAATCGGGAATAACTATCGACCGGTCGATAAATCGACTATGGTGTAACGGGATGTTTTTCATTACTCGAGGTGTGGATACGAATGGAATTTGAGTTTTTTCACTCCGATGCCCTGAAGGCTCAAACTGCTATATCGCCCTGGGGGCATGTTATGCAAATTTCGAAAATCCGCGAAGTTCCGTCACAGATAGTTGATGAACATGATGCAAAGAACTCGGAAACTTTTCTCTGTAAGAAAAAAGTTACAGGCGATCCAAAATCGAAAAATTTCATTTTCAACAGGGCGCAGCTCGCGCGAAAAGCAAAATTTCAACTATCCGCTGATGCCAAAAGTCTTAGAATTTTGTGTAGCAACTTCACTAAAAATTTTTTTCCGATAACTCAACGTTGAATAGTTTTCGGATATGTTTCTTATATGTATCTTCGACAAGCCCCGCTTCGCGGGGCCTTGACGTCGCTGTGCGCGCAAAGGTTGCCCATCTTGAAGGTTGTTGATCGCGCACTACCTCTGGAGTCGCTGGCCCCGCTTCGCGCGGCCAGAAAAACGCGCTAACGCGCGTTCTACTTACTCAAGCCCGCGAAAAAGACATGCTCCGCTCCGACCCGGAGCAAATATTTCGAATCGCAATCACTCACCCCAGCCAACCCTAATTTACCCCGCCCCCTTGGAATGGGGAATTCCGCTTTATTTCTCCGTCTTCTCTTCCGGTCTCTCGCTCTCCGCTCTCTCTCGAAATTCAAACTTGCGTAAAAGCAAAGGAATTTCCCTCTCTCGGCTCGGCCTCGCACAAAGAAATCCAAAGTTGCGTAAAAGCAAAGGAATTTCCCTCTCTCGCTCTCCGCTCTCTCTCGAAATTCGAACTTGCGTAAAAGCAAAGGAATTTCCCTCTCTCGGCTCGGTCTCGCACAAAAAAATACAAAGTCCACCGCTGTTGGAGACGACTCGGCTCGGCCTCCGGCCTCGCCGAGTCGTATTTTAGGAAATGAAAGTGGTTTCTGGACCGGTTTTTCACGCTGAACACGATGGTCCAAGTCTCGATTCACGAAATTTAAATTTAGCGGCCGCAGGGCAAATTTTCGGCCGAACCGCCCAATTTTGGCCGAAATTTGGCCAGTGCTCACTGAATTCGAAAGCGATTTGGCTGAAATTTGGCACGATTGAAGCTTGTGGAATTTGTCGAAAATTGACCCGAGCCGAATTTTGAATTTTACACTTTTGCCCTCGGGGCGTATTTAGTTCGCTGAAAAAATTTAATTTTGATCTGGACGGTCGTATTTTAGGAAAAGTTGGAGTTTCGCACATGAATATTACCCAAAATTTGATTCTGCGTCGATTGGTACCAAAATCGTGTCGATAGCTCCACTGGCAGCCGAGTTCTGGAAGGGCGGATCCAGAAAATTTCGAATTTTTGCCTTTGTCGCTAGGCGGGCGGGGTAAGATGGTCGTATGTTGGGAAGTGAAAGTTGTTTCTAGGGCAGTTTGATGTGCTAATTACGGGGCTTATCTCGAAAACCCGAAAAATTTGAAGTCTGAGCCCTGAGGGCGGATTTTGTGCAAAAAATCCCGAAAATTTTGCGCCAACAGTTTGATCTGACTTCCGGCAGGGTCCCAGTAGCCGAAAAAAATTCCAGCGATAGCTGAGACTAATAGCTATGTCGCTGTGGAGCCGGATTTTTGAATTTCGATCTAGTTTTCCAGAAAAAAATTCCGGAAAATTTGGAGTTTTTTCGGAAATTTCGGAAAATCTCGAATAGCTAAAATACGAAATACGACAGCAAGATACGAAAGGTGGTTCTAGGGTATGTCAGGCATGCTGAATCAGAATCCGTTGTCAAAATCCAGAAATTCCGTCATCTTGATGGTGAAAAATGGAAATTTCGGAAAATCGGGAATAACTATCGACCGGTCGATAAATCGACTATGGTGTAACGGGATGTTTTTCATTACTCGAGATGAGGATACGAATGGAATTTGAGTTTTTTTCACTCCGATGCCCTGAAGGCTCAAACTGCTATATCGCCCTGGGGGCATGTTATGCAAATTTCGAAAATCCGCGAAGTTCCGTCACAGATAGTTGATGAACATGATGCAAAGAACTCGGAAACTTTTCTCTGTAAGAAAAAAGTTACAGGCGATCCAAAATCGAAAAATTTCATTTTCAACAGGGCGCAGCTCGCGCGAAAAGCAAAATTTCAACTATCCGCTGATGCCAAAAGTCTTAGAATTTTGTGTAGCAACTTCACTAAAAATTTTTTTCCGATAACTCAACGTTGAATAGTTTTCGGATATGTTTCTTATATGTATCTTCGACAAGCCCCCGCTTCGCGGGGCCTTGACGTCGCTGTGCGCGCAAAGGTTGCCCAACGTGAAGTTGACTTGATCGCGTGCACTACAGTTGATCGTCCAGGCCACGCTTCGCGTGGCCAACAACGCGCTGGCGCGCGTTATACTGCCTCAAGCCCGGGCGGGCTGCGCGCGAGCGCTACCTTCCGTTAACGAAGGGCCGCGCGCCAGCGCTACCTTTCATCAGCTAAAGGCCGCGCGCCAGCGCTACCTCCCGTCAACGAAAGGCCACGCGCCAGCACTACCTCCCGTCAACGAAAGGCCACGCGCCAGCACTACCTCCCGCCAACGAAAGGCCGCGCGCCAGCGCTACGTTTCATCAGCTAACTTTGACCGATCAACTGTTCTTTGGACTTTGCCTCGGCCTTCGGCCTCGGCACAGTGCGCTGCAGCACTCTACAGCAACATCGCGAAGGTTCCGTGACCGACGGCGGCCTTCGGCCGCCGAAGCTTCCAAAAAAAAGTCACTTTGGCTCGGCCTTCGGCCTCGCAAAGATTCGAATCGCGTAAAAATACAAAAATTCCAAGAAGAAAGACGACTTGCTCCGCTCCGACCCGGAGCTAATATTTCGAATCAAAATCACTCACCCCAGCCAACCCAACTTTACCCCGCCCCGTTGGAATGGGGAATTCCGCCTTCTTTCTCTGTCTTCTCTTCCGGTCTCTCGCTCTCCGCTCTCTCTCGAAATCCGAACTTGCGTAAAAGCAAAGGAATTTCCCTCTCTCGGCTCGGCCTCGCACAAAAAAATCCAAAGTTGCGTAAAAGCAAAGGAATTTCCCTCTCTCGGGTCGACCCGAGAGAGGGAAAAGTTCAAAGTCCACCGCTGTTGGGGACGACTCGGCGAGGCCTCCGGCCTCGCCGAGTCGTATTTTAGGAAATGAAAGTGGTTTCTGGACCGGTTTTTCACGCTGAACACGATGGTCCAAGTCTCGATTCACGAAATTTGAGGTTTGATGCCCTTAGGGCGTTTTTTCGAATTTTTGAAAATCCGGCGAAAATTTCTCGGATTCGATTTTCACCCTGAGGGCGTGAACTGAGACGGCTGAAATTTGGCACGATTGTAGCCAGGCGAAATACCCAGAGCCGTTTTTTTCAGATTTTTGAATTTCGACTCCAGTTTGGAGAAAAAAAAATTTTGATATTACACATGACATCTGATCCCCGGGAGAAAAATTTTCGTCACGAAAGTAGGAAACGCGATGTAGCCGTGGTTGATGTGTGTTCAGGTGTAATCGAGCATGCTGAATCGAATGCTATCAACAGAATTCCGAATTTCGGCCGTCTAAGTGCAGTTTCGGCCGATTTTCCGGAAAAAATCGGAAAAAAAATTAACGTGAATTCGGCTTCTGCCAATCGCGCAGCTTCAGCGGAGCGATCCCAGAATCTGAAAAAAATTCAGAAGGCACCCAGAGGGAATACGACGAAAATGACTGAGCTTTTTTCCGAATTTCGATCTAGTTTTCCAGAAAAAAATTCCGGAAAATTTTGACTTTTTTGGGAAATTTCGGAAAATCTCGAATAGCTAAAATACGAAATACGATAGCAAGATACGAAGGGTGGTTCTAGGGTATATCAGGCATGCTGAATCAGAATCCGTTGTCAAAATCCAGAAATTCCGTCATCTTGATGGTGAAATCTGGAAAAAACCGAAAAATGCCGAAAATCGCTTATAACTTTCGACCGGTCGATAATTGTAAATTGTAAGTGGGCTTCAGAAGCCTTAGAATTTTGCGTAGAATACGATTCAATCAAAAAATTCCCGAAAATCCGACGTATATGCTGGAGACCCTCAGGGCATATATGACAAAATTTCGAAAAAACGCAAAGTTCCGTCACGAACAGTTGATGAACATGATGTAAAAAGCTCGGAAACTTTTCTCTGTAAGAAAAAAGTTACAGCCAATCTAAGAAAAAAAAATCTCACTTTCAAACGGCCGTAATTCCCGCCAAAATCGGCGGAAGGGAAATCAAAAAAATTAAAAGTCTTAGAATTTCGTGTTCTACCGCTATGCCAAATTTCAGGACGATAAGTCAACGTCTTCGATTTTTTACTTTTCTCACTTAGGTTTCTTTCGACAAGCCCCCGCTTCGCGGGGCCTTGACGTCGCTGTGCGCGCAAAGGTTGCCCAACATGAAGTTGACTTGATCGCGTGCACTACAGTTGATCGTCCAGGCCACGCTTCGCGTGGCCAACAACGCGCTGGCGCGCGTTATACTTACTCAAGCTCGACAGTTATGGTCAGGTAAAGGCCGCGCGCCAGCGCTACCTGTCGTCAGCTAAAGGCTGTGCGCCAGCGCTACCTTCCATAAGTTTACTTTGTAGTCATTAACCGGCTCTTGGTGAAAAGCCTCCCCGCCACGTCAAGGCGGCCGGTCTTCGGGGAAGTGGTGTTATTTTTTTTTGGAAAAAATAACAAAACCTTTGCCCTTCTCTTTTTATGAATTTCAATTACTGCTCATTTCCCAGCAGGTTTCTGAGGGTATTTCGACTTCTGATTCTCGTAAATTTTATCGAGATCGCGCAGGAACTCTGTCACTCGCCCGTATACCACATTATCAATCTCGTCTGTATCGACGTGAGAGTAGATGTGGATATCTGCAGCTCTTCTTGTGCGACTAAGCGCCACATACGTCTGGCCATGACTGAAGACTGGATCGTCTAAGTACAAACCGACGATGTTCAAAGTTTGACCTTGCGCACGATTAATCGACATCGCAAAGGCCAACTGCAACGGGAACTGATACCGCGTAAAGCGGATTCCAGCTTTAGATTGCTTTGGAGGTCGGTAGTCGAACCGACTCCGAGCGATCAGGGCGGTTTGCCCAAGATTGCCGTTCGGGTCAATCTTTTGACACTCAATGAGGTCGTTGTTCAAGGCAACTACGCGCATTCTTGTTCCGTTCGAAAAGCCTGTTCGAACGGATAAGTTTTGCGCAAAACGACATCAACTCCAACTTTGAGTTTGAGTTCTCCGGGAGGCATATTGCCGTCGTTTACTTTGCAAATCTGTTCTTGCATTGCTTCGATGACAGTATGGTCAAAGTTACTGACATCCTCGGGATTCGGGGTATTTACCGAGACGTATACATGTTCTTTACCGGGGAAACGGTCAAGAATTTCTGTGTTCAGGTTCATTACAGTCTGAACCCTCGGAGCTAAGATAGCCATTGCCGTCGGTCTATCTTGGAGACCCAACTGGAGGTGACTCCGAGGGAACACAGCCTCGATCATGTCTTGAGGACTTGTGTGGTTGTGTATCTCTGGATGAAGCTTATGCCTCAGAGATATCAAGGACAATGTTGAACTGAAGTTAGTCCCGGAGCCAATCTCACTGAGAAACTGTCTGTAGCTCCGTTCATCGGCTCTTGTTCTGTGATTTTGTTTCAGTACGATGTACTGCATCTCAGAAGCCTTTGAAATTAAGGACTTTGTCCACTCTTGACCAATCGATAGATCAGGGCAGACTGGCAATATCTGCTGATAATCGCCGCCATACACGATAACTAATTGACGGTCAATGTCGCCCGCTTTTCGAACGTGACGTAAGAGCCGTTGCAAATAGTTATAAAGATCGACGTTAAGCTGGCTTGATTCGTCGATGATCAATAAGCCAAGTTCACGAAGACGTTGGGCTTTTTGATCTTCGTACTTTAGTGTCGGAAGAGTATCCGAGTCAAGATTAATCGGGGCCCATATCAGGTTGTGAAGAGTCTGCCCGGTCTTAATTAAGTTCGCAGCAACGCCAGTTGTGGCAGTTGCTGCGTGCTTGATGCCCTGCTCTTGACAATAGTCAATGAGCTCATTGTAAAGGGTTGTTTTCCCTGTTCCGCCTGCTCCATGTAAGAAGAATTGACGGTGTGGAATGGCTTTGTTTTGAGGCGCCAATTCCAATGCTTTCGTTATCATGTCGAATGCGTATTGCTGATCATCTCCAAAGCTGACCTTAGGCTTTTTAGGCTCAGCAGGACGATCAGTGCTGTCGAACTCACCGATAAATAAGTCCTCGTTCTCACCGTGAACGTCTGGATCGTAAGTTCCAGTTAGTGGTGGTAAATTGAACGACTCGTACTTCCCACCCATGTTGGAGAGGTAATAACTGAGAAGTTCCAAAGCTCTACGCTCCTGCCTTTGCCTAATTTCATCATCCGGCATATTGGGTCTGTGGAACGGAGGCATCAACATGTGGATCTTGTAGTCGTTCCACAGTTGAAGCTGGTCTTCAATAAGTTCACCTGCTTCAATTAGTACTTGGGCAAACAAAAACACAAAGTGTTTACATGTGCGGCCCCGGGCTTGATCAAGAGCATGTCGCCAGAGGACATCTGAATGGAAGAGTCCTCGAGCTTGTGCAGCTTCCAAGAACGTGGCAAAGATCTGGTCTTCGTGCGTTCGGCACTCTTCGAAGCTCTTGAGGCATGGAACGGTCAGAATAATTGATCTCAAGGCCAATAACTCCTTGTTCTTCACCGAGACTTCGCGCAATTGCACGATCTTTTTCATTTGTTTTTTGTACTTTCTGTACGTCTTTGTCTTGTAGTCGTACGCATAGGTTCTGTTCAATTCAACGTACGTCAGATCAGCTGTTTCTTCAGCGTTTTCTGCGCAGTACTCAAAGTATGCGGTCAACCGGGAATACACATTAGGATTCAGGTTGCTGACTCTTTGTGCTATGTTTTCGATAGGCTCTCCGTCAGCCGCGTAAACATGGCTGTCTCCGGGCATGTGAATGCCAATTTGCTCCACAATGTGGGAGACGAAGACAGGCCCGAAGCTGAAAATGCGAAGGTGAGCTTCTTGGGGCGTGATGTAATTTGCGCCCATGTAGAATTGGGGCTCATGAATATCCACGTTCTTAGTCTTTGGATTTATTTCAATGCCATATACCTTCTCGGTATTATTCTTTTTCTCGGGGTCAATCTCATTCTCTTCGAACGGGTGGTCCTCGCCGAGCTTTGCTTGTCTTTCTTTTTCAAGTTCCTTTTCTTTCTGCTTCTGAGCTTCGAGAGCTTCAAATTCAGAAATGACTTGAACGATAGCTTGATCATTCCCCTTTAAGATATACTTTAATACGTATGCGGGGGTGCCGTTGGTGCACACAGCCTCAACGTTTGAGTGACCGTCCCACCATGTGAGCAAAGTCTTGTTGTATGGTACAACATGACGGTCGTTGTAGACGCGTTGAACGCTGTCCACCATTTTACTTCCGGAATGGACTGGGGCTGTGACGTCCTTTCCACGCTCCAACCTTTGATAGGCCACATATCCAGGGCCAATTCTGGTTTCCGGAACAATTTCCTGAGGATAGCGCCGGGTGCACTTTCCGTTTTTGTCCCGGCACAGATCGGTTTCTTTGCAGTCATGGATCATGTACCGAAGAACCTTGTCATGAACTTCAGCATCGGCGACGGGGTCTGGAAATCGGGCCGATATAAATTCGTCGACAACGTGGGCCGACATTTCTTTGTGCTCAGTCCAGAGGAGCAAGTGAACATGTGGATTTCCTCTTTTCTGGAATTCCAAAGACATGTAGTAGCCTAGGCATTGCCCAAACCACCCTTGTTGTCCTTTCTGCGGAGGCGCGATACGCCTCATGAGTTCGACAACCTTTTGCCGAAAAACTCGGTTTAGAATGTCGTATGCATTCTTCGGCTCAATTCCTTTATTTCCGCATAGATGGAGGAAGTCGGGCCATTCTGAGTTTGCAGTCAACGTTATGAAGAAACTGGGCGAACCCAATGTCTGAGCCATTGCTACACAGTTCGAATACTGTCGCTGATAATAGCGACGGCTGTATCGGTGACCTGGAGGCATCCTGGTCAGCTTACCGAGCTGATAGCCTTTGGACTTCTGCTTGAGAAGTTCCGAAAAGTTTTCGCGGACATATTTAGCGTCGACGCGTCGCTTGGGTATGACGTTTTTCTCGTAGTAATCAAAGACCTGTTCTTCGATTCCCAAGGCTTTTTGGCAGATCCAGCGGCCACCGAGTTTATAGTGGTTATAAATTCGATGAACTCCCCGATCTCGAGGTCTTCGCTGAAGCCTATACTTGACTTGCATTCGCAAAGAGCACTTCTTTGCCTTTGGCTTTGTTTTCTTGGGAAGAAGATCGTTCTCGTCGGCCGCTTCTTCCAATTCTTCTATGTTAATGTCGTCCTCGTTTTCTTTCAACCCGGCTGGAAGCGGATTCAACGCGACATTCACCTCAAAAGGCACGAACTCATCGTCATCTCCAGGCCGAGGCTCTGGGAGTATGTCATCTTCACCAACATCTCGCAATGGAAGATGTCGGTGGAAGTATGGCTCGCCATGTATAAACAGAAGAGGGTAAAGAAAGGCGTCAAGTTCAGGCATATAAGCCTTGTACTTCGCCGATTGGTGACCTCGACTGAACACAACCATACCGGGCGGAAGCTTAACATTACCGTTCTCATCGTTTATATAAACAACGGCATGTTCCGCAACTTCGGGTTTATTGATCTGCCTTTCGTGAAGGTCCTTAGGAAGCAACTGTTGCCTTAATTCAGGACTCAGATCTTTTGCATCAACAATTTTCAGCAAGTAATTTTCACTTGGTTTGCCTTCCAAACCAAGCAGCTGTTGCCGTTCAATAATTGTATAATACATTTGCGCCAAGTCGTTGTACTGGCGAATGTAATTATAGAAGAACGCGGTTAACGCATCAAACGCAGCTTTATGTGACATGTTTGTGTACATTTTTGTCTTTTTTAATTGATCACAAACGTCATCGTCTGTTAGATCCGGGGCAAATCTCAGCAACTGCCCAAGAAGAAGCGTATTCGAGATTCCTTCCGGGTTAGAGACGTGATACGTCGTTTGTCCATTAATATTAACCACTGGCGCTCCGCGTCCAGGTGGATCGGACTGGTGTACAGTTTGTGCCCCAAATGCGTACATTTGGTTTAATCTGGGGCTCTCATCTCGATAACAGAGGTAGTACTCCTTGGGAAGAGGTTTCAGGGGGAAACTCCCTTCTCCAAGAACCAAATTTTGTTGAAACTCAGGCATGTCTCGAAGGTCTGGCATGACCACTTGGCCGTGTTTACAGCATTCTGAAGAAGTCTCTCCAGAAAGCAACCATGCCTGACAATGCGGGCAATCGTAGAAAAGACCCACGTGATATGGGTGCCGATAATAATAGCCGCTACTGTGAGAGGCCTGACAGTGCATGGTGGTCCGCCCTTTCTTGGAAGACTTTGACCGTTTTAGTTCTTCTTTTTGAACATAGTCCTTTTGACTCCTCCGTACCATGCCCTTTGTCTGGGTCCTTGGAGTGAATGGAGGAGGAGTTGGAGGCCTTGGTGCAGGCTGCGTTTTCGCAACTGCCATTCTTGGAGGTGCCGGCGGACTGTCGGCCTTAGTTTCATTTTCAAAGTCTAGGCAAAGCTGATGATAAACGTTATCAGTCGCAGAGCTGCAAAAGATTGAATTCAAAATTCGATTGGAATAATTTGCTGCTCGGCCATGTGGCCAACGTTGCACCTGGTTTGGTGGCATTCCATTTGAGCGCAAGTAGACCTCTGCATTAGAAACCGCGTAATTTGCAGTAAAGTTGCCGTCATCCGTCCAGTAGTACTGACTGGAACTCGACGTAACAAAGATTTGGGCTTGCGGATTTGCGCCGGTTTGAGGACAGAAAACGTTCTCATAAACTTTTTGAAACATGTGTTCAAAGTCGCGGGCATTGATCCCGGTTCGAGCAGGGTCAATAAGCGTGACATTCGCTGATCGCCTAGATTTATACATTATTGCCAGCACGAAATGACGGGATGTTAAAATCTTTTTAGTCTTACGTGAGGGTCGGTTTACCATAATCAATGGAATGAATATGGCAGGGTCTGATTCATTTTCTTTCAGATTCCCAATATTAATCAAAGTATAGTCAGCAGGATCAGCAGATGTATCCAGTGACCATGCTGGAGAGATGAGTCCCACCGGTCTCCCGGACTGGCTTATCATTTGAGCCAGTGAAAAAGTGAGAAGCCGAGCATCAAACTCGTCATCATCCTTCTCAACATAAGATATTTCAGATTCTCCGAGGAGTCTCTCTTCAAATGTCTTTGTGCTCGTGCTAACACGGTTAGCGTCTTTAAACAACTGGACCATGTAGCGATAATGCTGTCTTGGATACTTTGCCTCAGCATATAGTTTGTACCCTTCAGAGACTTCAGGAATCTCGAGAGCTTTCTCTTCTTTCGCTATCATGAGAGAAATGTTAACTGTGTCAAACCGTTTCATAAGTTTGTCCTCAGCTGACTTATTGCTTGGGGAAGCCCTGGGTTTCTTTGGAGAGGCGTCAACCTTACTTGAGTTTTCCTCAGCCGTCTGCCGCTTCGTAACTGATCTCCTTTTTCGTGGAGTTTCCGGAACCGCAAACACAGGTTCTGGCTGAGTCACAGGTGACTTTTCTATTATAATTTCAACGGCCTTTGTCTTTTTGGTCGGAGTTGTCGCAACAACTTTCGCCTTTCTTTTTTGTGGGGTTGTTGGTGGCAACAGCCTAATATCTTGAATCGAAGGCCGACCTTGAGGTGGAATAATTTCAATCTTAGACCACCGAGCAAGTCTTTCCGCCTGTGTGGCGCCGTAAAGCTGGAACTGTCTTGACAATTGTCCCAACAGCAATTCTCTCAACTGCCGTGAAGCTAGACCTAACGGTCGGACTTCTTCGTCGTTTTCCGAGCACATTAGGTACAGTAATGTGTTATGGACAGTATGGAAACCGCAGCTGACTCCATCATACTGTCGGTCAAATTTGTGACCAATCTCCTCTATCAATAAACAGTCTTTATTGAACACGGATTTACAGACGCTGTTTAAATATTGTCTGATACTTGGACTGGTCGAACTCAAAATTGGACGGCCGTTCATGCCGAATAGGGTGTCAATCAAAACCCCTTTTACGGCTCCTGTGTCGGAAACCTCGATTATTGCAACTCCGAAGTGGGTTCCATCGTACAGAGGAACAACCAACTTGGCTGGGAGCCGAGGCAATGGGTTAAAGATCACAAAAGATGGATCGAAAACACCGGTGGTCAAAAAATTTTGATAGCCACGTGAACTGAGCAAGCCGAGATTGGCTGTAAAATGTGGAAGATACTCAGCGATTCCAAATGTTAAGGCTACAGTTGTCGCCATTTCATTAGGAGAGCTCTGCAGGTCTTCTAATCCGATCTGGAGCAAACACAGATCTAGGTCAAAACCGTAGGGCCTTGTCTTAAAATTACGATTATATTGCGATTCCATAAAATATTCAGGCACAATATCGCTTAGCAATAGATAAGACATGCCACCGCCCATAAAAGTATCCTCATCCATATTTGGAAAATACCTGAAGGCATCATATGGATATGGAATGTCCACATTCCGTTTCAAAGGAGGATTTGTTTCAATCAAATCCTCAAATAGGGATGAATCCATACTTTCGGGGAGACTATCAACGTTCTCCAGCTCTTGTGTGCTGCGCTTCTCAGCCTCAACACATGGACTTGAGGTGACGGACAGCTTTTTTAACGCCAGCTGCGATCTCACCTTTTTCGAGGCTAGGCCTACGCGTTTTCTACGTGGCTTACGGTCATTTAACTTGACATGCTCACCTACCGGAGAATTTATCTCGACAGCGTCGTCAAGCATGAAAGAATCCATGCTGTCGGAGAGGATATGAACCTCTTGGAATTCTTCTCTGTCGGATTCAATCTCGACAGAGGAGTTGGTGGCATTAACAGGCAGCTCTTTTAATGCTGCCTGCGATCTCACCTTCGAGGCGAAACCCCTGCCTTTTCTGCGTGGCTTACGGGCTTGTTTCTCAACCTCAACATTCAATTCAGAATTTTGAGGAAGAGATAAGGCCGTTCTTTCGGCCTTAGATGGCTTCTGAGCCTGGGAGACGGCTTTCCTACCGCCTCCACGACAGACCGCAGCGTAAAGCTGGCAGTTAGCAACAGGAATATTGCTTTTTCTCAGCAATTTCCTGTCTTTGGGCAACAGCATGCTACCGGGCCGAGACCCGGAGCTTCTGCTAATCCTCTGAGCCGGCGAGAACTCGTACCCGGGACGAATCCCGGGAGAATTTTCCATCCGTAAACCCGGCGATGACTCGTACCCCGTTAGAGTTTGGGGAGAATTATCCATCCGGGCGGGCGAGAACTCGTACCCGGGACGAATCCCGGGAGAATTTTCCATCCCTGAGGGCGAGAACTCGTACCCGGGACGAATCCCGAGAGAATTTTCCATCCCTATTATAGGCGAGAACTCGTACCCGAGACGAATCCCGGGAGAATTTTCCATCCTATTTTTATAGATAGTAGAAGAATAAGTAGAAATAAAAAATTTTGAAAGCATCTCGAAAAATGAAATAATTTCAAAAGAAAAATTATTTTTTGAGTCAAAGCTCAATTAGCAAGCGAATCAAAGTTCACTGAAATCCTTCGTTGAAAGATAACAAATTTCCAACCGAACGCGCATCAATTATTTCCTTGCGAAGCGAAGAAATGGGGAGGAAAAACGAAGAGAGCGAGAGAAACGCGCGCTATTTCGCGCTCTCTCTGCCTCTCAGCGCCCTCTCTCCGTTTCGCGCTCTCTCGCTCTCTCTCTCTTTTTGGCGTGTCCGATCTGGCAAGTTAAGCAACTTCACAAAAAAAATGTCGTATTAAGCTGGAAATGATTAAATAATTAAAATATAATTAATTTATGATATTTAGAAAAAAAAATCAGAATTTTATATGCTACTTGAAGCGAGTTATATCAAAAAGAAATTTATATTGTACATGACGAAATGTGAGAAAAAAATGTTTTTAAAGGAAGAAAAGGCTGGAATCAAATAGCAAGTAATGTAGTAGATTAAATTTGTGATTTTTAGAGACTATTCCGATCCGTTTTTATAAAATTTGAACGAAGTTACATCAAAAATAAAATTTATATTGTACATGACCTCGAAAATTGCGAAAATTTGAGAAAAAAATGTTTTCAATGAAAGAAAAGGCAGGAATCAAATAGAAAATATTGTAGTATATTAAATTTGTAATTTTTTGAGACCATTCCGATCCGTTTTTATGAAATTTGAACGAAGTTACATCAAAAATAAAATTTATATTGTACTTGACCTCGAAAATTGCGAATAACTCTCGACCAGTCGATAATTGTCAATAGCAAGTTGCGTTCAGAAGGCTTAGAATTTCACGTGGAATAGGATAGAATCAAAAAATTATCGAAAATCGAAAAAAATTTTCCCAACTTTCGACCGGTCGATAATTGTCAATAGCAAGTTGCGTTCAGAAGGCTTAGAATTTCACGTAAAATATGATGGAAGAAAAAAAATTGCGAAAATCGAAAAAAATTTTCCTAACTTTCGACCGGTCGATAATCGTAAATAGCAAGTAGCCTTCAGAAGTCGAAGAATGTTGCGCTGAACATGATGCAGTAAAAAAATTTCGGAAAATTCGACGTATAAAGAAGTTACAGCCAAAACAAAATTATATTACACATGGCAATTGAGACAAATTTTGAATTTCGCTGATGTAAGAAGGGCTCCGGTCGGCTCCAGCCTTCGGCTGGAGCCTCCCGGAGCAGCAAGCGAGCTGGCTCGGCCTTCGGCCTCGCCAGCTCGCAATAATTTTTTATAAAAATAGTCTTTTTTGCTGTGTAAGTAGGGCTCCTCTTCCGATAAAGTAGTTTCAGTCGAAAGTTGCGTAAAAGAAAAGAGATTTCCCGCCATTTTAGGTGAGAAAAAAATCCCGAAAATTGACGTTGTGACAACAGCGCAGCCTTGGAGAGCTGAGAAGCTAAAAAAATCCACAGGGTACTCTATGGAAATACGAAGACAACACCGAAGCCCTTTTTTCGAAGTTGGACTTCAGTTTCAAAGAAAAAAATTATTTAGAAGCCTTATGTTACATAGCTTTAATAGTAACGACTTGAATGAATAACATGCTTAGTAACAACAAATATTTGTAACAACAAAATCAAAGTGATGGGAAACCAAGGTGTTTTAAGATTTTCCCAACTTGGATTTGATTAGCTCCTTCAACGTGACGATGGGGCGGGCTGGCTCCACAGAAATATTTAATTCAGACAATGGAGAATTAGACCCCTTTAAAGAATCATATAAGTTTATGATCTACTTAAAACAATCAACAACAAACAATAAAAATTTTTCACTCCACCTTAGCCTTAGACCGTCGGAAGATTCTCGGAGTCTTCTTCTTCTTGAAATCATGATGAGGAGAGTCGCCAACCTTCGTTCCCGTCGCAGTCTGGGCCTTCTCCACATTGAACTTGACATTCTCGGCGTTCTTCTTGATCTCGGCGGTCTTCTCGCCTTCAGCTTGCTTCTTCTCCTTTCCGTCCTTCGCTTTTGCGGGTTGCACGGTGTCCTTCTGTTTGGTTCCCCACGTTTTCGCCTTCTCCCAAACAGAGAGCTTGTAACAGTCATCATCGCAATGTTTCGCCACCTCAGATGAAGTCAAGTCCTTGTTGAGCGGTTTATGGAAGTTCCCGTAGCTGCCGTCGTCATGCTCATTGACAACTTCCGAAGTTTGAGGTGGGATATTTTCCTCATCGGGATTGTAGACCGGGGTGATGCAATTGTCGTATCTTGTTTCCAAAAGACTGTCTTCGTTGGGGGAAGGGGGTTTTTTTTTGTCAGCGTTGTGACTAAAATAAAGGTTGTAATATAGATGATAACAAAAATCAATAATCTTTACTGAAAAGTTGTAAAAACTTACCGATTATCGACGGAAGGTGAAATAGGGACAGGCTGTAGAGAGGGCTGACGGGAAGGAGATCCATTATCCGGTTTCAACGCGCGCTTCTTGAAACGACTTCTAAAGAATAGAATGTAGTATCAACGGTATTAGACCAAAAGAATAGCAATAGCTTTTATATAAGGACTTACTGTTTGGAAAGAAATCTGGATCTTCCCTCATTTCTTTGGGCACCAAAGCCACCACGGCCGCCTCCACCACGACCGCCACCACCTCTGCGCCATGAGCCGCGTCCTCGGCCCCCGCCTTGAGATCCTTGCTGGATGATAACTTGCTTTAGTATCTTAGTTTGGCCGTAGGCCTGCAAATAAAAAACAGAAATGAAACATTGTAAAAAAACATAGAAAAACACCAATTTAAACTCACATTCATGGTGATATAGATCAAAAAAGTCCAAAATCTTCAGAAATTTCGATTTTCAGAGCTCTCGAATCAATGAAAACGATACGAAGTTTCGAAACGGTTCAGGAAATGCGCTGGATTCACGTACACTGTCGATCTGAAACCAAAATGAGTAAATTAATGTGTAAGAAAACAAATTGTTTTCGAAAAATACAAAAACAAAGTCCAAAGATGTAAAAATAAGTGAGGGTTGTGAGAGAAAAGAAGGAAGTGGGGGTGAAATATGTGGTAACAGCTTGACAAAGGTTTGACGAAGGTTTGGCAAGGCTTTTGCCAACGTTTCGTCGACCTTTTTGCCCAGTTTTGACCTTATTTTAGGCGGCTCTGGGGTAAACCCGTGTTCCCGCCTAAAATAAGGTCAAAACTGGGCAAAAAGGTCGACGAAACGATGGCAAAAGCTTTGTCAAAGCTCCGTCAAACCTTTGTCAAGCTTTTACCCCATATTGTACCCCCACTTCCTTCTTTTCTCTCAGAAAACTTACTTATTTTTGAGATTTTTTGAAATTTTACTTATTTTTGGGATTTTTTAAAATTTTTCGGTGTTGAAGGGGGAAGTGGGGGGTGAAAGGCTTTATAAAAGCTTGACAAAGGTTTGACGAAGCTTTGGCAAGCTTTTGCCAACGTTTCGTCGACCTTTTTGCCCAGTTTTGACCTTATTTTAGGCGGCTCTTGGGTTAACCCTTTTTCCGCCTAAAATAACGTCAAAACTGGGCAAAAAGGTCGACGAAACGTTGGCAAAAGTTTTGCCAAAGCTCCGTCGAAGTTTTGCCAAGCTGTTACCACAGATTTTACACTCCACAACCTTCTTTTCTCCCCGCCCCCCCTTCACAACAACAAAAATAAGAAAAAACATACCTAAATCCGATGTACTTGTGGAAAATGGAACCAAATTGACGTTGATCGGACGGTGTTTTGACTCGAAACAAAATTTCCACAATTGAACTTTGAAAGGCTTGCCGCTGATCGGGGACTACTTGACAAAACTGAAAAAAATGAGTATAATAAAACGTAAAAAGTTATGAAACACGAAAAATAGGAAAAATCTCGAAAGAAATAATAAAAAATTACGAAAGCATTCATATAACAACATGAAATCGTTGCAAAAAGTTTTGTTGCGAAAAAATAGAATCCCTTTTTGGGTAAACAAAGCTGTTTGGGGTGCAGGCTGCGCCCGAGGAACTGCAAATAAATTTTGATAAAATACTTTTAAAACAGCGGGGAATAATGAGATTATTAAAATATAATGAAATTATGATGTTTAGAAAAAAATCGACTTTTTACATGCTTTGACCGAAGTTACAGCCGAAACAAATTTATATTGTACATGATGAAATGGGAGAAAAAATTAATTTCAATAGAAGCAAAAGCAGAAATGAAATATAAAATGATGTAACGTATTAAATTTGTGAATTTTAGGCACCATCTCGACCCGATTTCATAAAGTTCGAGCAAAGTTACAGCGAAATGAAATTTATATTGTACATGATGAAATGTGAGAAAAAAATGTTTTTACTGGAAGAAAAAAGAGGAATGAAATGGAAAATAACGTAGTATATTAAATTTGTGATTTTTAGAGACCATTGCGATCCATTTTTATGCTAATTGACCGAAGTTACAACCAAAACAAAATTATATTACACATGGTAATTGAGAAAAAATTTGAATTTCGCTTATGTAAGCAGGGCTCCGGTCGGCTCCAGCCTTCGGCTGGAGCCTCCCGGAGCAGCAGGCGAGCTGGCTCGGCCTTCGGCCTCGCCAGCTCGCAATAAATTTTTATTCAAATAGTCTTTTTCGCTTGTTTTTTAAATTAGAATAGTCTTTTTGGCTTCTGTTTTCTATTAAAAGTCTTTTCGCTTATGTAAGCAGGGCTCCGGTCGGCTCCAGCCTTCGGCTGGAGCCTCCCGGAGCAGCAGGCGAGCTGGCTCGGCCTTCGGCCTCGCCAGCTCGCAATAAATTTTTATTCAAATAGTCTTTTTCGCTTGTTTTTTTAATTATAATAGTCCTTTTCGCTTCTGTTTTCTATTAAAATAGTGTTTTCGCTTATGCAAGCAGGGCTCCGGTCGGCTCCAG